TTTTTTTTTTTTTTTTTTTTATCTCTTTTTTGGTTAATAAAATGAGGAATTTTACCCACAGAGGAAAGCTCGGATCAGCTATATTGATTCTAGCCTACTTTAAGGACCTGGAATTATAAAGTTCGCTTTGGTCAATCTTATGCCAGCAATTTTCCTGCAGGCTTCAACAATACATTGCAGGCTAATCTTAATTTTGATGCCAATCAAAAGAACAGATTCAGTAAAACAGAATTAAAAATATATTTCCTTCTTGTAGCCTTTCTTCCTTTTTCTTTGCTTCCTTCTTTTCTTTTGACCTTTTTTAGATCCCTCTCTTCCTTATGCTTTTCCACACATTTTTCCTCCCTACATCCTTGTTTTTTCCCTTGGCACTTTCTTCCTTGTCATCATTCCTTCACTCTTCCTGTCCTTCATTTAAGTGTTTTCTTGTTTCTTTCAATCCTCAATAAGCTTTCTGTCCTCTGGGTAAATACTGTAATAATTGAAGTGTAAGGTTTTAGTTAAGTTCCTCTCGGTATATTGCAGCCTAGTCAAAAGATTTGTACTTTTAGGGTGATTATTCATAAAAATCAATGTTTGGGATGATTTCATGTCTCATGATTCCTCCCCAGAGATGCTTCCTTTCTGTTCTGGTTAACATCATAAAAACAACCCCTGCTGTGAGGTACACATGTAAACAGGAACAGCGAAGAAATAAAAAAAAACAGAAAAACAAATTATCTTTCTTTGTCTCCATTGGGAATTTAAATAATGCAGTTTTTATAATGTATTTTTACGTATTGTTGTGCTTTACTGTGACCACCGTAAACAATTGTGGGAATATGAAAATAAGCTCCTTTTTTGAAAAAGATTATGTTTTAATAAATTAGTCTCAAAATCGTTCATCTAAGTTGGTGAGGGGAGGCGATGAGCTTTCAAAGACGTCAGAAATATACTAAGATCCTAATTTAAACATATCTTGGCAATGATGGAAAATGAAATATCCCCTGTGGTTTAGCTCTGAGAGAGTCCAAAGTGGGGCAGCTAAAATAAAAAGCAGCAGTTTTTACGCATCAGCAGCACTATAGGAGCACCAGAACATCCCAGGTGGCTAAAATCAAGAGGATGTTGATATAAAATACCAGAAGAGCAGTTTGTGTAGGTCAGCTCTTCAAAATGGAGATTAATTGTGCAGATTTCTTCGCTCTGTAATTGAGGATATCGCTTCAGCCAGTGTTTGTCAGCCAACACACCATGCTGCAACTAGAGATTTCTCTGGTAAAAACACTGCGACACACATTTTTTGACATGCGTCTAGATTTTGTATTCACAACACATTCATACACAGATGATCTGGTTTCTCCTACTCCGCATATTAAACACAAATCCACAAAATCAAACTCTGGGACTCCCACAAGGCCAACTGTATTCCATCTAGAACAGCATTGTGACAATGATGATGGCTGCCAAAGCCTTTTAGAGCCTCGGGGCTCTGCTGTTAATGAAGCAGCTCACTTTAGAGAGAATCCCTGTAATGAAGGCACGGCATACACCTAATGCAAAATCACACACCCTTGCACACTTCAGCAGCCTGACACCAACAACATGTTCATAGTCCCTTATGAAATCTCACACACAAACTAACAGTGAAATCATTATCAGCAGCCAGAAATGGTGTCAGGGGATTGGCCTGGCTCCATTAAAGTAAATTAAAGTTGAGGTAAATTAGTGGATGCTTAATAGGATAAAGATAGCAAGACAGCTATACACAGTGTTTGTGTGCTGGTGGGTGTGTGTGGCTGATTTTTATATATCTATCAACAGAACCTGTCTAATAACCTTTTGTTGTTGCAGTTTTTTTTTTTTTTTTTTATAAAATATTTACAATGAAGAAGTTTATATGTATTGATCATTAGCTTACAAAACCATGTCGTATTCATCACTGTCTCTTGAGCTGGATTAAAGCCTTATGGATTGTGATGATATTATCCTCATATTTCTAGAAATTTTTAAATAAATTATTTTGATCATCCTAAATGAACAGAAGAGAAGAAAACTGATTAATGTCACATTGTTAGAAGAATGTGTGTCTCTTAATGAATGTTTCCTTTTAAATGTGTATTGTGACTGTGTGAGTCCCCTACATCATTCCAGTCAGTGGAACAAATTTGCTCTGACACTGCAATCCAACCAGAGCAACTCTGTTGTTTATCTGAGCTGCAACAAGAGGACATAATTAAGGACCCAACTTAACAAAAGTAGCATTGCAAGGTCTTTTACATACTGGAGGCAAGCACTCGAACTAGCCAGATTGTTTCAAAATGGTTCACTTTGTCCTAGTATTATGTCTTAGTTCACCTATAGAATGCCCCATTTTCCTCTTTTATTCCAACATATAGGTTAATCTAATTCACTTTGTGCCCTTCTTATATATGCAGCATAATGAATCCTTTCTATTTTCTTCATCCCCAACTTTAGATCTGTTCCAGAAGTTGTTTCGTCAGGACTTGCTGGTGGCCAGCTTGTTCCGCAATTTCCTGCTGGCAGAAAGGATAATGAGGTCGTACAACTGTACACCAGTCAGCAGCCCCCGTCTCCCCCCAACTTACATGCATGCCATGTGGTAAGACACTCTCACAAACAGAGCTCCTGGCACAGGAACACAGATGCACAGATGTCGGTGGCTTTTGTAGAGCTGGAGGTTAGAGGAAAGAAACGAGCCACCCTTAAGGCCCAGCTGTTTTTGAAGACAGAGAGCAATTAAAGGCTGAGAAGAGTTTCCAACATATTCTTAATTAGCACACATGGTGCAATTTTCTTCATGTAACTGTAGATACATTTAATGACTGGATATTTTGAAAATCAACTCGGATATTAGGAAGAGACAAAACAGTGAAGCTTGCCTAGAGGCAAATGTTTCTGAATGTTAAGGGATTGCTTATTAAAAGAAAACTGCTTCTTACACTGTTTTAATTTTTTATGTTTGATTTGTTTGGGACAAATCAAACATCTGTTACTAAGCATATTGTTCAAAATAGTAAAATTAGTAACATAAATAGTTCAATTTAGTTAAATTAGTCTAGTGCCAGGTCTATAAAGCTATCACTATCTTTAGAGGCGCACTTTTGTCCTATCAAAGCTCATTAAGTCAATATGATCTCCCCTTATGTACAAACTATCTATTTGTCAACCAGCTGTCGATCAAATAGCTGCACTGCACTCTTTGGCTGTGTCCGAATGTCTGCCCTAACCCCTATATCCCTCAATCACTATATAGAGCAGGGACTAAATGGGGGACTTCTGGTGAACTCGGGTAGCTGACCGTTCAGACAGATGATCACTAATTTTCACTAATTGGTAATGTGACTCCGCCCCACCGCACGGTGCCTGTGCATTTTGTTTTTATTTTCAGGCCACAGTGACAACAAATCCCATAAAGCTTTGCGAGGAGAGCTCTCCTCACAAAGCATTATGGGATATATCTGCTTGTTAAGGAATTATGGATGATCACTACTTTTCAAGGGGTATTGTGGAAAATTTCAAGTCCACTACTTTTTCATCCACTAGACATTTGGACATTCATTTAAAATGGCGTAACCACTGTGAAGTGATTAGGGTGGACATTTGGACACAGCCTTAACCTAGCTTGGTTACAGGAGTCCTGACATTGCCCTGCTCCAGTTTGAGGACTACAAAGTAAAATCCTATGACAGGACAGCACTCTTACAGCACACTGCAAGGCAAACTCTGACTTTCCCTAAGTTCTGAACTATCACTGCGTTATACACCAACAAGAGATCTGTGCTTAAGTTCTTGATTTTGAACACTTAATGGGACCCGTTGAGAAGATTTTAAACTCCATTCGAGCTAAGGCCAAGAAGCACCAGAGCTTCAAGTTGTTACTGGAAAAGTGCCCTGCATACCACAAGGATCTCCTCTTTCACACGGACGTGAGATGGTTATGTCCGGATAAGATACTGCAATGCTTTCTCTCTTTGCTGAGAGAAATTAAGACTTTTACGGAGAGTAGAGGAGAAGATGCAACTCTATTAATGAATGCAGAGCGGCTTCTTGATCTCACCTTTCTCAGCGATGTGACGGATAAAATCAACCAACTCAATATGGAGTTACAAGGCAAGGACAAGCATGTGTCTGACATGATCAGGTCTGTCAGCCCATTGAGCTCCCAAACAGACATTGTGCATTCAGCAAGTTAAAATCAAAATGTTGTAACACTTTCCCTCTGTGTTGAACATGTGTGAGAGTAACCCAGGTGCAGCCAGTGCTGTAAATGTTAAAACATTTTGTGATTTTCTGGCAAAGCTTGGGCAATAGTTTTCAGACAGATTTGTGTGACATTTCTGGCAAATCCGTTCATGGATGTGCTAATTTCTGAAGACTCGTTGAGCCAAATGAATTCAAAAATCTCTATGAGTTGACATTTAAAATGTGTGCTTTATTTAGGTCTACTTACCTGGTTGTGTCTGCTTTTTCTGACATGAATGTTCTCAAATCCAATCAAAGGACAAGACTGACTGATGAACTCTTGCATGAGTCTATTAGAGTGAACCTGATTGGCTGCACTCCAAAATAATCATCTCTAGTTGACAATATGCAGTGCCGGTCATCACACTGAATTAGCTACTTGTCATTTCAATGATATACTTGTTTGGTTCTTTAGTTGTGATTTCAGATGGTAACCAGTGGATAACCTGTGAGTAAATCATCCATAAAAAAAAAAGCATGGTCCACCATGTGTTAAGTTCCGAATCTATTTTGTGAACAGAAATTTAGAAGAATACAAAATAAATTTAGTTCAGGCAAAAACGGCAACAAAATAATTTTTTTCTGAACATAAGTAGCTCACGTTGGTTTTTGTTAAATTAAACTCACGTAGCTCATGAAGGGTGAAGTTTTGGAGATCCCTGTTCTAGAGAGTGTAAATTTCAACAAGTTGTCCAAAGGCATTTAAGAAAAAGACAGAGATTCCAAGTCAGTTAGGCTAAATCAGGGCCGCTTGTTTCTGGTTGTCAAACAATACAATTAAGTTCAGATTATTATTCATTGTGGTTAAAACGTTGGCTGTCTGAGGGATGTACCATATTGCATCAAGTCATTAGACATGAACTTGGGATGGCTTTTATACATTTCTATACTCTAACCCAGACCCTTTCACTAACCCTAACATTACCAACCGATACCTAACCTAAATTGAATTCACACCTTCGTCTTAAACCTTCCTACAATATGCTTGGGGGAAATTGGACTTGCACCATATCCACAAGGTTACAAATACTTGGCCACTCAAACACACACATCCTTGTCCTGCTATATAAACTGAGGATTTTGTGTTTACTCCTATTAACTTCTATGGATTGTCAGTACTTTTAAAGCCTTTCTATGCCCTAATCCTGACAATTATCCTAAGCCTAACAAATGCCAAAATAACTCGTTAGGTTATCACTTTACAACAAATGGGCCTCACTTTGTGGGTAGAAAGAGGAAAAAGTGTTGGTCCTCGGAAGGTTAGTAAATAATACCAAAAACTGTCCTATAAGTAACATAAACAAGTGCACACACATATTGTGGTAACTTCAAAGGTGATCTTTAAAAGGGAGGTTTAGGGGATGTTTTTGAGGAAACATGATCCCAAATGGGCTCTTGTCACAGGGAAGTTGCTGTTCTCATGCTTTTGTTTGTTCCTGACTCAACAAAATTCAGGTGACATGAAAAAATCAATAGCTTCTGTTGTAGATTTTGCTGCTGTTTGTCCAGCAGTGATGCGACAGATACTTTATGTCAAAAACTTACAGTACATTGGAGCCCTATCCTTCATTTAAAACCATGGATCTATTAGCAAACAACATGTAAACACAGCCTTCTGGAGTTGCTCTGAGTATACATTACATGTAAAAAAAACAAAGTTAATTCCCACAACACTTCCTTTAATAGGTACTGGTTTGCAGCTCTAAGCCAATGTGTGTAGGTGTTTTTTATTATGTTTCTGCTTTCAAGCATATGCAGATTCTTCACATACTTTCTTTACATCTTTTTTAGATCTTGAATGTACAAGGTGTTGCTGCCTTAGCAGGAAAAACGTATTTTACAGAGATGATAATTACCAAAAAACCAAAAGTAGTAGATGGAAACAGAAGACTTGTGGTAGTCAGAGGGTAAACTTCTTTCTTAGCTTAAGCTTTTTTTCCATTTCAGATAGAAGAAATTGCTCTCACTGCCTTTTAGGTTATACTCTGTCAGTATTTGTTTAAAAGAAGTTGAGCTGGAATTCTTTTAACATTTTGCAAAAAAAGTGGATCCAAAATGTAGTTTTTGCTTAGTTTGTTTTGCATCAGAAAGTTGCTCTAACTGTCTTTTGGTTTTATCGTAGGAGTCTTAATGCATCTTAGTGAAGTAATATTAACGCACTCAGCCTTCTGATTTCCCTGTATGTTGAGGTAGTGCTCCTCGACTGAGGTCTTGACTTCACCTAGACCATTGAAATACTGTTATTTTCTGCCTAAGCCATTCTGTTGGAGTGTGGTTGCTGTTTTTAGCATGCATTGCTTTCGCATGACCTATTTGTGACCCTCAAATGACTTGATAGTTGTGTTTGCCCTCTCAAACACAGTGACCCAATAAGCTGAAGGAAAGTTAATGGTTCTCGGGTAAATTTCAGTAGTGGTTCCCTTCTATTTAAGAATAGTTTCTGAACAGATTACCCTTAGTTTCCTTCAGTCACCTCTGTGTTGTCAGCAGAACAACCCCAGCCTGGGCATGGCTGTATGTAAGCACATCTAGAATACCTATCTCACTTTGTCCCGCTCCTGAACAGTCTGCACCATTCTGGGAAGTTTGATTTAGAACTAGTTTTTCAGTGTTTTCCAGAATTATACATGATTTGGACAATGCCAGTTTTTTAAACTTTATTGCATAGTGTATTTTATAGATTAACTTCTTTGAAGCAATGCATTCGTTTTTCTGTTAATTTAGAACTTAATAGGATCCTGTAAAATCTGTAACATATTGGTCATTATTAAAAAACACATTTTCCTCTGTCAATATGCTCTACCCAGAACTCCTCAAGGGGAAACATTAAAATTTCACCTGGTTTAATTTCTGTAGAAACATATCTTTGTGGAAACTTTTTCTATCCGATTGTTAATTGAAAAAATAATCTGCAGATTAATCGATTAGCAAAATAATTGTTACTTGCAGCCCTGGTTTTATTCTTCCATGATTTGTGTTATGATCAAACGAAGAAACACAAAAGGAAAAGAAAATTGGTAGGAACGCCCTATTTAAATGATGGTTTTGCGCGTTTTGTGGTTTGCGGCATGGCGAGTTTGGACAGCAGAAGGCGCAAAAGGAAATTTGACCCCATGGAAATGGAGGTATTGGTGGATGAAGCCAACAAACATTTAAGTGAGCTACAGCAAAGAAGTGTGCCTGTCACACAGAGGAACACTATATGTGAACAAATCTGTAATAAAGTAAACGCTGTTGGTGAAACCTTGCGAACAGTGGATGAAGTAAAAAGAAGATACCAGGATATTAGAAGGCGAACCAAAGAAAAACTGGCATATAACAAAACATCTGCGAACAAAAGAGGAGGGGGCACAGTAGATGAGATGCCTCTGACCAGCATTGAGGAACAAGTACAGCTGACGTTCTGTGAGGAGCAAATCACTGGAATTGCAGCTCCAAAATGGCAATGCTGGATAAACAAAATGTTTTGATGATCGTTTCCTCATTCATTCCAAAAATATTCACACGGAGTGAAAAAATGCGTTCTCTGCGTCTCCTTGCTTCATTTCGATGTCTCCTTCTTGCGACAATAACCGCTGCCATGTGTGCGCAATTACGCATACAGACCATTTGCACCTTCTTTTGAAACGTGTTAAATATAGAGTCAGATACCGTTAGCAAAATTGCTTTCAGGTTTGATAAATCACTTTGCGAGTGCTAAATTAATATATTTACATGTTCTCCTCCCACAAGACGCACGTTTGCGTGTAAACGCCCCAAATTGCATATTCATTGCAGAAAAAGTACTAAATGGATAAGAGGCGCTATTTAGCACGTTTTAAAGACCAAATCCTTTTAGCACGCTGTTGATAGATCAGTTTGTACATTTTTTAGCGTGCGCAGTGAAATAGCTCACGTTTTTATACACGGAAACCTTTGATAAATCCGGCCCATAGTGTGAGAACAGCATTACAGTAATCTGCTCCTGCAGCCTTGGTTTAGGAGTTGTTCTCAAATCACCTGCGCAGAACCTTCTGTTTTATGTCCATCATATACAAGTACTGTACTATGGGCAACTTATTTAGTGTTTATTATGAAATATGAAATGCCTATTCCAGACATTAAACTGTGCTTGTTGTTTATTTTAAGTAAAGGGACAGATTACTCTGTACCTGGGGAATATGCATATATGATTTTGAAGGGAATGCATTCAGAGTATTTAAACAATGCCTCTTGTAATCAGCTGGTGACCCAGTTTGATGTTGCATTTAAGTAAACCTTCCAAGCTTTTCAAATATTTTTATGATTTCATAAAAAAAAAAACAGCTTTCACTGATGTTAAAAACCGCAACATGTATTTTATCTAAGAATCTGCGCTTTTGCGTTTGTGTTGTCCTGCTGTATTTCCAAAAAAGGCTTTACCTCCATTGGTTTTCTCAGCAACAGGTTTCTTTTGCCGCTTGATTTTTCCAGCATGTTTCCTCATTAACACACGTGTTTATAAAGCCCTGCTGCTTTGCACTGAGTAAGAACAATTACCTTATCATCCATCTTTCTTTAGTTAAACAAACATCTCACCATCTTTTTTTCCCCCCTCCACATCGATTTCTAAAAATGCCTTCCTCTGCTTCTCCCACTCATTATCTGGCTTGTGTTGGCAAAGCCTCCGCGAGAGGCTCGTTGTGTAACCACCTGGCATGTCTTCCTGTAACAAATACTGCTCTTTACTCCTTGATAACGCTGTAGTCTTTCTTTCTCACTAGTTCATCCCCATTAGCTGAGATTGCGGCTGCTTTTCAGTGTTTGTGGCCCAACAAATTGGGATTTCACAACACCACATGCAGTATTAAGCAGGATAGAGTAACGACTCAAGAGTGTTTTAGGAGTGCAGAAAACCAAACTGGGAGGGCAATAAAGATTGTAAGTGCTACAGATAAAAGGCAAGTAGGAAAATAAAAGTTTGGGCCAGCATGTACTGGGCCGGGGAGAATGGAGAGGGGGGGAATAAGTACTTTAAGGGCTTGCTGATTCATGTTAGTGTCACAACACAAACAGCTATTGTTATTCAAATGCAGCAGAATGGCGTAAGGCAAATGAGCCTACGGCTGATTACTCCCTTGCGAGCCGTTTCAATGCCAGTAGAGTGTCCGTTTTATATTGGTGGATGTTGTTGCACCACTCTCTGCGGGCAACCGGAGAAAAGAGCTTAGTCAGCCGCCAAATGCTCCCCTACACTGCCCTGCTGTTGGCTGTCCCTCCATTTCACGCTGAACACACACACGAGCTGTGGTGATGAGTCACTTTTTCGTTCTTGCGAGCGAGTTAACGGTGTCATGTTAAACTTGGGACAGCTTCCATCTTTAGAGTGCATTCTTCCTGATAACATGGTGTTTGCCTCTATCATGATGGGTTCCATACATACCAGCAAGAATCGATCTGTGCATTGAAAATGTTTTTTCTGCAGAGCTTCAGATCAAGTTAGGAAACCTATGTAGTGTTTTCGTACCTGATTTGGAAAAGTACACATTAGGTGCACGTTAAGAAGTGCTTGCTTTGTATGAGCTTTTGGTCATACCTTCTATTTTACTGTTATTAAGAAACTGTATATGAAAAAAGTTTACAGGCATTCCAAAAAAAGAAAATTTAAAACTATACAGAGAGTTTACAGGCTTTTTAAAGTTTTTGGAACCTAACAGATTTTCCACTTTTTTTGTTGCTCTCATTTAAATGCTTTAGATCATTTAACTTTTTGAATTCAGGGCAGCATAACACAAGTATGCATAAACAGGCTGCTTAGGGATATCTTCAGCATCTAAGCCAGATTAAAATCCAGTGTTTTTTTTTTTACTTTCTGCAATCCACTTTAGATGATTGTTCCACTGCATGATCCTAGTGCTTTTAAACTTTTAAGTTTCTCCTCTTTCTTTTGGGTTTTTTACCATAGAGCAGAGACAATGGCTCCCGTCAATCGCTGCAAGTTGTCCACTTCCTAAAAAGCACCAGAGAACTACATTGCCAGCACCATGTTTGACATTTAGGAGTACTTTTCTGTTACTTCCCTCCCAACTTCAGTTGAGTTTTATCGCTGTAGACCTAATTAGGTCTAGTTTAGGTACAACAGCATTGTATGTAGCTAAAGAAGGCCGTTTGAAGAGCAGCATCTCCTCCAAGAAATGCACTCAGCTTTTCTCTCTCAAAGTTTTAACAAAAGCGCTAACTCTTTGTGCTGCTGCGGACAGAAATGCCCCACATCAAGCCACCTTTAAATGTTTTCATGTTGCACATTCATCAGGGAGTCCATTACATGTTTTGCTCTTTGCTGTCAACTAGGAATGCAGCTCTATTATATTACACTGGAATAATGGGAAAAGCCATTTGAGTAGTAGAAAGAGTCTCAGACAGAGTGAACTTGGCGTCACTCATTCAGCATCGCATTACATCGCTGTGCGTCGACTGGGAGCATGAATCAACCTCTAACTCATGCTAACCAAGAGGAAAAAGCCCCACCGAGGCTGCGAGTTTAATTTTCTGCAAGAAGAAGGAGCTGAAAAGTGGAGACTCGAGGAGACGGACAGAAAGGGAGAAAAGAGAAGCTGTGATAAGGTTTGATGTGGGTTGCATAACTCCATGAATTAAAAATGATGACCATGGGAGGAGAGCTGGTGTATAGCAGGGGGGGATTAAAGGCTCCTCACTGCCCTCTGCAAGACCCATTGGATGGGAATCTAAAGCACGCGGAGAACAATACAGGAGGGACTATCTGGTCTGAGAAAAATGGATTTGAATGTACGGTTATAAACGCCACCTTAGTCCTGGTGTTGACCTGCACTGACATACAATCTAAAAATCAATGTAGCTGTATTTGACAAGATGTGATCGAGGTAAATGAAATACCTTTTGATTCATACATTAGACCTGGATAAAATGCTATTTTCAAACCCAGGTGGTCTAAAGAGTCTATAATATGTTTGCATCCAATCAGTTTTATATATAATCATAAGTAATGCATAAAGGGGTAATTCTTTTCATTTTTAAACATGACTCTGCTTTATTAATATACATTTTAAGAAAGCTTATATGCATAAACCCTTCAACACATGCATCATTACTGCATCATTTTAGTTTTACTGAAAATAAAATATTTATTACAAGCACCTTATTACTCTTCTCTTGTATTCTTTTAATTATTTCCTATTGAGGTAGGATGTTATTGCCACAAATGCGCAATAAACACCTACCGGTAATTATTTTCATCATTACTGCCATTAATATGTTTTATTTACTGCGTCATCGTTTTATAATTCTTTGTTGTGGTAAAACTTATTTTAATACAGGATAAACTTTTCTATGTGTTATTCTGCTACTTGATTCTGGTTGTTTTTGAGGATGATGTAATTCTTTGGTCTCTGTGCTAATTCTCTGCAGGCAAGCCTGGGACTTGGCCGTGGACATCTGCCTTTCTCAGCTGCCTACCATCATCGAGGAGGGCACCGCCTTCAGAGTAAGTGTGCACACACACATGTAGTTGAGGGATAAACCAGCACTCTCACACTTTTAAAACGTGAACAAATCCCGTTGCCGCTGTTTTTATAAGCGACAATGAGAATGTCTGTGATCACAGGACGTTGAGCCTTGATGGATGGCTTCTGTCCTCTGCTGATGTCCATGAACACCAAACTGTTCTCGATTGCTTTGCAGCTTTCCTCCCTTCAGCACCAACACCTTCTCTAATAATTACTCATACTCACACATTCTCAGGGGATAACATTGTAAAATGTCAGCTCTTATAACTCAAGCGTGTGTCAAATAAAAAACGGTTTTCTGAAACCACTGGCCCTGCACTTTCAGCCACCAGTGTGTTTATTGTTATATTTACTGACATGGCAGGGGACTCTGATAGAGATGCTGAGTTCAATGAAAACATGCTGCAAGAGGCTTATTGAGCTGATGATGAGCTCATATATCTTGATCGACTCATTTTGATTCTGGATGGATCACAGAGTTGCTACCTGTGTTTTGGCCCTTTAATCCCCCCCCCACCACCACCAACCCCCAACCAACCTTGCCCTCAGAGGTGAGCTTCTTCTCCATGGCTCCCCTGGGGGTAGTTTGCCTTCCTGGTACTCAGAATGAAAACACTTACCAGCATCATAATTAAGCCCCTGAGGAATGTTAAAGCAGAGCTTCCCGCTCTGTGTTGGATTCAGAAATAGAGTAGTCTGCTGTTCTTTGGCTATGCGCATTATTTTTTTGGTGCTTTTTTAAAATTGGTGCTAAAAATGCATATAGTCAAATCAAACCAAAGCATCTACAAAATAAACCAAAAATCTCCAAAATGTCTTTTTTTTATTTTTGCTTAAATTTTGAACAGACTTTATTGTTGATCTTCAAAGAAACTTTCATTCGATTAAGACAGTTTTTAATACTAATAATTCTCAGAATGTAAAACACTTTCAAACTTACCTTGGCCCTGTGGAAAGATACGTTTATGTCTTAGGGGCTGAATTTCTTAAAACATGTTTTTTACACACAGAGAAGATCTTCAAAGAAGGTGTAAAGTTCAGCAGATGGTGCGTGCAAACTTATTAATAAACTTGTGCCTTTATCACTATGCAGATCATATTCTAATGACCAAATTTCACAAATTCTTGGGTGATGGATATGTAAATTAAAACATTTACCAGATACAAAGCAATTATCTAAATCTAAAACTCACTCTCACACTTTTGCAGCTTTTTTAGTACTTTTGAATATCAGGCGCAAACTTGCATCCAAAAAAATCCACCGCAAATGAGGACAATGCCAGAGAGATTCATTGCGTATTTAAACATTTTGAGGCTGTCAGAAAAATGTATATTAGAATTATATTAATACAGAAAAACATCTGCACAGGCTGACACTTATGCTACGTTCGGACCGCAAGCGTTAGAAGCAGCAAAAAAGCTTCTGCTGCCTAATTTTGATGCTTGTCTACATTAAGGTGAGATGCGTGTCAAGAGCAGCTTTGACGACTCTCGACCCGATTTGGTTAAGCCTTTGTATTTTTTTCTCAAAATTAGAAATTTGGGCCATTACCCACACTAAGAGGACTATGAGGCAAGTCAGAAAATATTAATAGAAATAAGTAATTTTAAATGGAAAGCTCAGTACATTACTTAAAATTTTCCACTACTTCAGGCCATACTAATTTATTTTACATTTTTAATTCTAGAAATTGCAACCTAAAGTTATTCCTAAGCCTGTTTACACCCCTGATAGATATCAATTTTTGATAATTTGAAACATTTATTCTTTACATTTATCTTTAAAATAATGTCAAAACACTATTTATCCTTTTCAATACATTTTGGAAAAGTCTTCTGACATTACAGCATTTAAACCCTTGAATTATTTGCTGACTAGCAGTTTGTATGTTTACTCTGTGTTTTTGACAAGTTATAGTTGGTGAAATGGATAAAGAGGGTAGGGCTTTTTTCCAAACTACTTCATCTATTTTTTCTGTTAGTCCTATAAACAGATTATCTTTAAGATGCCATCTACGCAGCATTCCCTGTAAAAACCACACACCAATGAAAAGGTCAGGGTTTCAGGGAGTATTTTTCTCCGGCTACGATTATTCATGAATGAATCCATCAATCCTTTGCAGCGCTGCTATTTCCCTCCTCAACATCCATCAGTGAACCAAACGATTGCATAATTCCTGCTGTAATTTCACCTCGCAGCATGATCAAATAACGTGCAGCCAGCAGCCAATCGGGCAGAGGGACGGGAAGCTGAGTGTGATTGATCGGGATTTATGTTGTTACTGCAGTGCAGTGTCATCTCTCAGCTCATTATGTTGGACCCTTTATGAAATGATGAGCTAGTCGCCGCGGAGTGGCTGTGTGTGTTTGAGAGTCAGCTCTGTGCGAATCTCTAACATCTGTTACATCTGCTGTTTGTGTCCACAGCACAGTCCATTCTTCGCAGAACAGCTCACTGCGTTTCAGGTGTGGTTGACTATGGGTGTGGAGAACAGAAACCCTCCTGAACAGCTCCCTATAGTTCTGCAGGTATGCACACACACAAACACGTCATAATGTTTTATACTCATGCTTTAGCCCAGACATGATCTGCACACAGATTAACATCAAAGTAAAATTTATGCTAGTTTTTTTTATGTTTCGCTTTTTTTGCTTTAATATTTTATGTCCAATCTAAACAAACTACAAAGATTTCAAATTGGTCAGTATTCTTTCTTTATTACTTCCATCTATCGACCTATCTAAAATATTTATTTATTTATTTTATGAACTCCTTTGCTTGTGTTCCTTATGTCCTCGCTTTCTTCCTTGCTTTCTTGTGTCCTACCTTCTTTCACTCTTCCATCATTTTCTACAGCCCTTATATGCTTTTTCTTCATCTTTCTTTTTATTTTTCATCCTTTTTTTATTCTTCTGTCTTTTCAACTGTAGAAAAATCTATCTTAAATGCATAAAAAAAATGTATGTGTTGATTTAAAAAAACAAAACAAAAAGACAACAAATAATTCTTAAGATAAGTCATTCCATACCATGGATTTAATTTTGGGAAGGCGACTTAACCCCTGCACATTTTCAAACGTCTCTTTTGGTCCCCTGCACTTTTTACTGTCCAAAAACATTGCTATCCTACAGTACGCAGACATTTGTCGAGCACTAGGATCATGCAGAAAACTGCGGTCAAATTAAAGCCCGCGTCCCTGAGCTTAGACCACCAACAAGCTCCTTATTGGTCAACCCTCTTTTTTTGTGTGTGATTGACTGTCACCGCTGTCACTCCTGACATGTTCACTTTATAAAATATCTGAATCAGGTCTGTGATTGATGGGTCAAACAAGTTAGTTATATTAAAAAATACTTGTGTCAACCCCCCCCCCCCCCCCCCCCACAGGTGGTGTCATTCTAAAATCTCCTAATAGTCTGTTTGAAACTGTAGATAGAGTACATCACTAGTTAATGATGCCTACAAGCATTGGGATTAGTACCAAGTAAAGTGGAATTAAGAGATTAATGCTATACATTGAATTATACTGCAGGCTTCAGCCTTGTTATCAATATTTAGCTCTATACATGCCGATTTAGGTACATTAGTTTATAATCGAAGCTGAAAAGAACAAAGGGTGATGCATGGTTTGAAAAGAAAAAGAAGAGTCTATGAAATTTTATTGCATCGGTTCTTTCTTCAAACTACCAACATTGCTATATCATACTTTTCACAATATTGTTCCACTTTTATTGACTAGGTCCTCATGAGTATCTTTTAGAATCACACAGTAACCTGTGATAGTCTATATAAAGCCTCAAACTCACTGCGGATCCAGACAATTGAATTGAGAAAGCTTCCTGGAGGGGAATTGAAACGTCTTCAAACCTTGGAAACCATGAATTGATTACTAATGATCATCAAAACAAACAAACGTATCCATCAGTTAGTTACCGGAAGAGGATCTTTGCTGTGCTTTCTGTTATGTGCTTGATTCAGTTAACTTTCTCTACTTCTGGCTTTATTTAATCTGTTTTCATAATTAGCACTTGTGCAATGATCATATTAAGGCACTTCATTTGCATGCATAACATCCAACATGTGTGCATACACAAGAGTGGGATGGCTTAGAAATCAGTTGTTAAAACTTTTCTACAAGTTCACTGAATGCTTGATTTCTTTTAGACACTGAGAAAGTGAGGAGAGCATGCGTCTGCAGATAAAAAGAGAAGCAGTGGATAGATTTACAGCTTGGAGCATAATCTCAGCCTGAGATAGAGCACATTGTATTCAGTCAGAACCAAAAGAGCATTTTTATCTGGAAAGCTGTTACTATCAGAAACAGTTGTTGGTGACATCCTGTAGGATTAAATATAATATTCTGATTAACTATTGCTCCAGATTACAGTTATATGTGCTAGTCAAGCCTGCAGTCCTCTGAAGCAGGGTTCACTGACCTTTTTAAGGCAGAGGGCTACTTCATGGGTACTTTTTTTTTAATGTATAATGTTCCTTTAGATGTTTTGCTATGAAATATCTATAAATGCAAATATGATTAAAAAAGAAGAGCAACAAAATAAAATAAGTTTCAAACTGAGCCCACTGGAGACTTCTACTGTTTTCAAAAGATGGCTGAAGGTACCATGTGGTCCTCGAGGGCCCGCAAGCACCATGTTTTCTGACCCCTTCTCTAAAGCATGCAAAATCAGTGCATTTGAAATCGGTTATTCCCCCTTTCTGAACAGATTTGTCACTGAATCTGTATATTTTGTGTTAGAAAATTACTTTAGAATAAAAAAAAAACACAAACAAAAGTTTGATACAAGAAAAAAAATGATGGAAATCTTGATTTTGGCCTGACTAATAAGTTTTTGTTGACTTTTACCCATGACTTCTCCGAATCAAAGCCTTCCCCATTATGTGAACTATATCTTTAAACCCACTCTAACTGCATAATGTGTTGCTGTTGGCAATTCCTGAAATGTAAAACTATGGGTGATGCAGGTTGCACAGAAAGGGCTTTATTTTCCATTATGAAGCAATAGCATCTTGATTAAACTCACCAATCATCTGCCAGGATTGCACCTGGAATATTACTGCTACAGGGACTTCTTCTTATGCTGAGACCTGAGTCTTAATTTATTATAATTTATTACATCAGGCATTCTCTTTTTTTCCACCTCTTACCTCAGGAGCATGACAATCTTTGATGGAAGTTCAGTTCAGGACTTTCGGGCCAATTTCCTGTATTACAGCCCTATAGCTAAACCCATGTCAGTGGCTGCTGCTGTGCTTGCTTGAGATGTTACATTTTGGGGGGAGGGCTGCACTCTGATGCCGTGTTCTCGTCCTCCCACCTCTGCCGCCATCTTCCCCACAGGGTGGTACGCTGGCAGTGTGGCATTATATCACATCGTAGTAGCAGCATGGAGCTGTCCGTGCTGAATGGTAATTTCCTGCTGAGTCAGCGCGCTGCTAGCAGAGGCACATCCATACAGCGGGGCCCATCGAGACCCGTTAAAAGCCAAGGAAAAAGGCAGCATGATTGAAAGCATGTGGACAGTGTGCGTTTGCTTGTTTTGGAACGACAGGGAAACAGCTGCAGTAGCCTTTCAGATTGTGCATCTTCCTGCAGCTTTCTACTGTCATAAGAAAAAAGATCTGAAGGGTACTTAAGGTGTCTGACATGACAGGACAAGCCTGTGCACTTTAACACATAGATGTATTTACATTTCTTTAGGGTTTATGAGTTGATGTCAAAGTATTCTCACATTCCATTTAAAGGATGAATGATTGACACAAAGCAGGCAAAAAAGAATAAACCATCAATAATGCTCTTTAGTAAAATGAGCAACCAACACATCTGAGGAGGTTGGAAAAGCTGCGTTGTCTTGACAACAGCCATTTCATCTAAAAGGATTAGCAGATTGTGTAAAGGGATTACAGGATTTCTGTGTTTTGGTAACAAAGAAGAATTCACACCTATTTGTTCCTCTACATGCGATTATCGTTATTAAGCAACACGATGCACATAAAGCCTTAAATTTTTTTAGCATTTTGCAGCTGCAGCACACAGTATTAGGATATAAACTGGTAGACCAAATCAAATCTATGCATGATCGGGAAGTGGAAGGAAAAAGCAGATATGGTTTTAAGCTGTAGCTGGAGAGTTTTACCCCTGCTGAATCAGTAATTATTCCCCCCCATCTTTAATGCAAGTTACAGGAGCAACCCTGTCATTCTAACTCATGCCCTGCTGAACGATGCAGCTCTTTCCCAATCTGAACTTTTTTTTTTTTTTTGCAGCCTTTAACAGGTTTTCTTCTAGGTTTATGCTATGTTCACCATAACGCTTCTCTGATTGACCTTTTCTTGCACTTCTTGTCAGTTTACAGGGGTGGCCATGTCTTGGTTTAAAGTAGGGATCCAAACAATTTGGAAAAGAGGGCATTGCAACATACGATGCGTGATGATATTAAAAATAAAACACTTTTTTATTTCCACTCTGTTTTATAAACTATTCTTAAATGCCCACCTTCTCCAGAACTTTCCACGTTGTTTTTTTAATTCAAATGATGCAATTTGTTCACTCATTTTTCTAGCAAACCTTTATTTACAGATTTGAATCCAATTGTATTGGATTACATTAAAGGCCAGTTTATTATATTTTGGTGCTTCTCAGTTGCTACAGATGGGTTGCTTTACCTTCTACTTTTCTACTTTTGAATAAAGAGCTAAGAAGTTTGCAGTAGGAATTTGACAAAACGTGATGCAGTTCATGGAGCGCGAATACTTTTGCAAAGCCCGGCAAAATGATTCGCTCTAATGCTCAGACACACAGGGTGATAGGAGGGACTGCTTACTCACAGGTGTAAAACAGAGGTGAAGATGCGAGGAGGTAAAAACACACTCACGTTCTCTGTTATGTTGCTGCGTTGATCTGGGATTTTATTTCCATCCCTTCCAGGCCTTCTACTTTATGAATAATGCACACCCAATGCACTCGGTGATGATGAGAACGTGAGAAAGATATGGATTTAGTCAGCTCTATGCTTGCACCAGGGGGAGAGGTTCGGATTGGGTTGTTGCCCTGTGGCTTTTCTGCGGCACCTGCGTCACGTTCAAATACACCACATTCCCACGCTCCCCATAAGAACTGTAGGCAGCCACGGGTTCGGTCTTCCCCCAGCCTCCCCCCTGTTTGTATGGTCACGCTCGCAGGCCGACGTCCCCCTAAGGACTCTGTTCTTGTACCGTGTGTAGGTGGAGATGCTTGTGTGAGTCTGCGGTCCTCCATATGCTCGTTCCCACGCACACTGTGACAGTCACGTTGAGCTGGTCCGGTGTCCTGCCTTCACACGGGGTTTTAGTGCTTCACTGCATAATCTTAGCAAACATAAGCATTTGTGTATTTTTAGCACCTGCCATATGCATCCTATAATTAGCCCACTGTGTCCACTACAGCTATGGAAGTTATTCCCAGTTGGCGTCAGTATTTCATTATATCAGCACAGGTAAGATACAGCAGCCATTCAGATGGTGTCACACACTAATAACACTGTTAGCCTTTAAAAAATGGCAGCCAAGAGGAAGCACATAGCTGCCCACATAGGCATGTAATGGCTCTGGATCTGGCATGTAATGGCAGCAGAGGTGGTGGAAGCGCCACCTGTTTCACTCAACCCTCTCTGCCCTTTTCCCTGCTGTTCATTCTTCCTTTAATCTCAGACTTCCTTCCATTTTTGAAGGCACACCCCTGACAAGCGTTTTCTCGCTCTCTCTTGCTCTCTTTCAGGTCCTTCTCAGTCAAGTGCATCGGCTGAGGGCTCTGGACCTGCTCGGACGGTTTCTGGATTTGGGACCTTGGGCTGTCAGTCTGGTCCGTTCATCTCTTTTTTTTTTTATATTTAGACACTGCTGGGTGAATTTATGGAAGAGTCAAATCCTGAATATCATTACAGTTGTAAAGTAAAGTTCTATGTTTACATCTTTAAGCTTTCTCTCCCCGATTCTTTCCTGAGAATTGATCACTTGGAACAAACATTTATGTATTAAATTACTATGATGCATGACAGCAGATTTTGACAGAAATTGTCACCATCCATCATACATTGTCATAATTTATAGATGCCAGCAATTACCACCAGACTCACTTCTTCAGAAAGTCGGCTGAGAATACCAGTTAAAGCATTTTATACATTTCCAGTGTCACACCCTGCCACATCATCACATCATTACATCATAGATATAATTGTACATAAGGAGGCTTCACTGGTTCGAGCTATATCTAGATATTAGGTACTGTAGTGGTTTTAGAACAAGGACAACTATTTCATTCCCAAATCTTGATGTACATATTGAAGATGATTACTTTTTACTGTCCTAATTAGATAAACTGCATTTGAAATCACAACTCTTGACACTTAAAGGGGAACACGTTTTTTTTTTTACATTGGCCCCTTGATTTTAAGTTATTACATCATGTTTTACTCACCCATATTAGTTTTGTGTCATTTGGAGCTGTTCTGGAAATATTCAGTTAGGTTATATCCACGTAACGTCTTCCTATGGGCAACGACTTGAAGGCACAAACTAAACTGTTCATAATTTATTCTTTATGGTACGCCAGCATTCATAACATGAAGGAGAATCACTGTCCCCCAGACATCAATGGTTATATTTTTTTTATATTTATATTTTTGAAAAACAAAGCAGAGTGTGTATGACATCATCCGCGTGCGCCGGCTACCATTCATTCATCCTGTCCGCTGAACTGCTGCTAGTTTTACTCACATGCCTGGAAGATGTCTAGTGCTGCTACCACACATGATCTCTCTGTCGAAATGGAATTGAACGATTCAGATTAGCTAGCCGAACAAATAGAAGGGGTAGGGCGTAGCCGCCTGTGGCCCGGGCTGCCTGTCACAACTCCAGTCCGGCGCGCGCTGATGACGTCATACTCTGCTTTGTTTTGAAAAGATATAAATATAAAAAATATAACCGCGGATGTCTGGGGGACAGTGATTCACCTAAATGTTTTGAATACTGGCGTAAAGAATAAACCATAAAGAATAAATTATGAACAGTTCAGTTTGTGCCTTCAACTCGTTGCCCATAGGAAGAGGTTACCTGGATATAACAAAACCGAATATTTCCAGAACAGCTCCAAATGACACAAAACTAATATGGGTGAGTAGAAAAATGATGTAATAATGTAAAATCAAGGGGACAATGTAAAAAAAAACTGGTTTAAAAGGCAGGCTGTATTTGGGTTTAACAAGCACAGACATGGATGATAAAAATAATCCTAACAACATGCAGGTCACGATGGTGATAACTGTATTTTTATGGAATATATCTAAATAATCTGAGAGATTTGGAAATCTGCAATAAAACACTAACTTTGCAAAGTGGAAAGGACTGTCACTTGAAGTATGAAGGGTTTTAGAAAAAAAATCAAATCAAGTATCCTATTTACTCACGTTATCTTGATCTAGTGGCGTATTTTGTTTTATAATCTGATGCTCAAACATTTCCTAAAAGGGCATAAACAAACACCTAGTGGTGAGTATTGGCTTGTTGCGATACCATACGTGTCACGACACTTGGTTAATGATGCGATATTATCAAGATAGTGCAATATCACTATATATTGTGATATTTTTCCCAGCTATCAAAAATGAAATCTATTGATTAAAAAAAAGCATGTGCTGTATATGTTGAAAAGAATCCATGTTGTTTGGGGTTTGAGTCAGTCCACATCTTCTACTGTGACTGCCTCAACTACAGAAATAGTGCTGCAGCACACAGCAAATGGGCTCCACGGCCCTATCTATCTATTGGCAGGGCAGAAGTAGCTCATTGTTTTAAATAAAAGAAAATAAAAATGAATCCATATTAGGAACTAAAAGATTGATATTATATTGGGCAGACATGAAATCACAATATATCACCACACCGATTTTTTTCTCATACCCCTACAAACACCTGTCGGTTAAATAAACTACCTTTAGTTTAGAATTTATAGTCATATTTACTCCCTCTAGTAAATAATAAAGCTTACCTTCTATTCAGAGGGAATGAACAGTGAGTCACACGTTAGAGGGAATCCAATTATTTGATGAACAAAGAGTGGCAGCTGCTCCAATAAGTTTACACGAAGAGTTAATAACTTTAATGATATTATGTTTCATAGAACTAGATAAGTCATAAAAAACCTCTACTCTTTTTTTGCTGAGAAGAACACGTTAACTTTTTTCTTCTAATGATGGGAAGCAGGAACTTTTACCTTTACTTTTATTACATTAAATCGACTCAAAATGCTTTGTAATTTAGATCTTTTGTGTATTTTTTCCCTTTGATAATTATTAACAATAATCTCCCATTATTGATGTTATAATATAAAACCTTTATTCTTTCCTTACATGTCTGCATTTTTCCCTGCCCCGTAAACACTGGCGCTGAGTTTGTTTTTGTTTTGCAGGCTCTTTCTGTGGGGATCTTCCCATATGTGTTAAAGCTGCTCCAGAGTTCAGCCAGGGAGCTGCGGCCGCTGCTGGTGTTCATCTGGGCTAAAATCCTGGCCGTTGACAGTGTAAGTACTGTAAAACACTCACACACACAGATAAGTATTTTGCTCTTGTTTTATTCAATTCTTTAGTTGGTTCACTTTCATATTAATATAAGCAGAACACTTGGAATCAGCTTCAAATTGAAATTTATGAAAAAATAAAGAAGTTAGGGTTGCATATAAAATGTTGTTTAATCAATGTTTAATCAGCATAGTGACTGTAGAGGAATTTATTTTTCTGACAGCTTCATAGAGATAATAGAGTTGCTCCATAATTGTCCAGTAAAAGCATTTTGCCAGCTTCCTCACAGCCTCCCTCTGGATGAGTAAAACATAACAGCGATGGATGGAAGCAGGAGGGAGGTCTTTTACTTCAGTTGGGCTTATATTTAATTAACAATGACTGAATGCTTTAGGGCTAAAGTATCAACACAGCAATATTCTTGTTAGAAAACTTAGGGTAAGAAGTGGCACCACGTAAGAAACGGCACAAAACTTTTAAGGCCTTAGAGTCTAAGCATGGCATTCTGTTTTCCCCTACAACTCTTGCCAATAACAAACCATCTGAATGATAAAAAGAGGATATTTTATATATGTTTTATATAGTATAATTATATAGTATAGTTTTTATATATTTATTGATATTGTTGCTTTGTTAAACTAATGAAAAATCAGCTGCAGGTAAAAATTACAGTTTCATGATGTTGAAACCAAGACAATCCACATCTTTTAACAGTAACTGTTACCAATAAATGTTCTACATCCTTATTAACATTGTTTATTATCAAAATCTTTATTAGTGTTACTATAAATAGCTATTTTGGAGCCTAAAAAAGGTCTGAATACCAAATTTGTTTATGTGATTATTGATTTTTTATCTTTAAAGGTATTCTGAATGTTTTATTCCCTGCAGAATTTTAAAACACGGCTCAAGACTTACTTTTATTCACTGGCTTTTAACACTGGCAGGACTTAGTTGTTTTGAGGTTGTTTATTTAGCTTAAGCAAATTCATATTATTGCCTTATTTTATATAGTTATGCTGTATTTTATTATTTTATTGTGTTTTATTATCTTTAGCTATGTTCAGCACTTTGTTTTCAGCTGTAGCTCTTTTAAAGCGCTCTACAAATAAAGATGATGATGAGGATTTTAGGTTTCTGTCATGCAACCACTACTCTATAAGTTATTCCATGAGGTGCCTTATGATTTCCAGAACTTCCCAAATTCCTTGACATCAGAGGATTGTGGTGGTGTTCTCATTTTTGCTCATATGGCCATCCCATCATGCAGTTGGGACCGTTTCCTCACAAAATGCAGAATTGCCTGTTATTATGCAAGCTTTAGGCGCCTAAACCATGAGTTTCAGCCTGGTTATCGGTTAGTTTAAGAGGGTGAGAAAGATTTTCTCTAAGCAGAAAATTCCAAAGTTTTCACTGAGTATCAAGAACTGATTTATTTATTTTGTTCATATATTTATTTATGTTGTTTATTGGTCACTTTCCAAATAATGTGTTCAATTCAGAATGATTCTTCTATATTTTAAACTCTATGAGCCACAGTCCATGGTTATTCTTCCCTGTTGCTCATACATAAAGAGAATGCAAGGGATTTTATTTTTCATTCTATCTACATACATCTGCCTCATGTAGAATCAGATCCATATGTGCAATATGGAGGAGTGCGTCCTTCTCGATACGCGGGAGCTTCCTTTCTTGAAGTGTAAAGAGCAAAGCAATCTCTAAGTGGGCACTGGAAAAAAATCGAAATCTAGAGAAGTCATTTTTACTTAAAATAAGTGCATTTGTTTTTTGGATTGAGGAGGTAAAAGAGACCGCTTGCCAATGGAACAAGACAATTTACACTTAAACTAAGAAAAAGCAATTACATTATCTTATTTCAAGTGCATATTATCTAAATATCTTATTTTAAGAGTAAAAATACTCATTCCACTGGCAAACTATCTCATTTACCTACTCAAATTAAGGATAAATACACTTAATTTAAGAAATGTTTATTTGTTTCTAGATCATTTTTCCAGTGGGCTTAAATGAAATTTTAGCTTTGTGATTGTTCTCTTTGTCAATATAAGTTTTTTTTTACCAAGCTCATGTAACACAAAAAGGTCGGAGGCAGAATTAGAGCTCATTTTGAACAGAAGATATTGAGTACACAGTACACAATTTAGTACAAAATTCATGAATTGAAAGTGACTCCAGCTTCAGTTTGTGTAGATTATTAGAAAACTTACTGTTATATTTTGTGTTTTTTGGAAAACTCCAAGGTGCAAATCTACAAATTGCTTCATATCAGCTCTTTTTAAAGGGTTGTGATTTCATAATAGCTTTTTTTTTTTTTTTTTGTCAGCCACAGTGTTAAGAGTTTCTCTCCTGGGGGAAAGATAATAATAAGGCTAACTCTGAATGACGAGTGAAACCTCTCAGCTCTTCTCTCCATCATTACAGTCATGTCAAGCTGACCTGGTGAAAGACAATGGACACAAGTACTTCCTGTCTGTGTTAGCTGACAGTTACATGCCTGTAAGTATAAAGTGAATAATGTGATTGTTCCGGTTTCAAGTGATGCAAAGCTGTTAAATTATTAGGGTTGGGCAATAAAGCAATAATATGTATCGCAATAGACCCCTGATCAATAACCATAAAACAATACTTCCAAAAGAATTTCCTATAATTTTACTGAACTCTGACCCAGAACTGCAAAGCATTCTGGGGGATGTAGACAGAGGAAAGGATTTAGCCTTTAAACTCTTAACAGAAAAGATAACAAGGTTGGTGCTTTGGCTGACCTCTTTTTAAAAGTTACCTTTAAATAAGGTTAGGGTAACAGTTTTAGTCCGTCCAATCTCCGCTGGTGCTCATTAGAAATTGGAAAACAAAAAAGTTGCTCAATAATGAGTATCGATTGACATGAAAGGCTCATATTGCGATACATTTTCCAGCCATATTGCTCAGCCCTACCTACGAGGGCCGTTTAATAAGTAATGCCCCTGGCCTACTTCCAAATGTTTGATCAAGCTGAAACTTTGCATGTTAAGTATTTTAAATCTCTGTAGATTTAATAGCAAATTACAGCTCTGAACTTATTGTGGTTTCTGATTTACGGGAGAAAACGGGCGACTTTTGTTCTAATGAAAGTAACCTATAGTGATAATGTCTCATAATATAACCTTGTAAAACATTTCGCAAGGTCATATAACGGGCCTCACAACCACAAGTTACTTTAATTTAATCAAAAGTCTCCTGTGGTGTGAGTCCTTTCCAATAGATAAACCGGCTCATTGCTCGACACGCAACAGGCTCCATTCATGCTTTACTCAGTTCAAACACCTGTAAGTCAGAAACCACAAATAGTTCACAGCTGTAAATTGCTACTTAATCTATAGAGATTCAAATAACGTCACATGCAAAATTTCAGCTGGATCAAACATCTGGAAGTGTATCAGGGGCACTACTTGTTGAACGCCCCTCGTACCATGTTGGAGCTGAGAGATGGTTTTCCTTCTTTCAGGCTGAACATCGAACCATGGCCGTCTTCATCTTAGCCGTCATCGTCAACAGTTACAACACAGGGCAGGTAGGAACCAGCTTGACTTTACATGTGTGGCTCCAAACTGACCTCCAGAAGAAGTCCATGACAAATTATTAATTCACTTCTTTAACTAGGAAACAGGCTTCTCTAAGCGGCAGCTGTCATCCCTCTCACCTGTTGTATATATCCAGTAGATATTGCTTATGTGACAGTATTGTCGGAAGCAGTTACTTCTGCAGCCTCCGTTTCGGCCCCAGCCACCTATGTGGTGACACTTTATCACTAGTGAGTCACTTCCTTCTGCCCCAGCCTCCTGCGCGCAATCCCAGAAGCCTTTTATGTCTGCTGCTCATCAAATACCCAACGGCGAAATGTCGGGATATTGTAGCTCATCATTTCACCGAGTACACCAAGACGCCCAAACAATTCCTGAAAGGAAATATTAGTTATATTTCTGTCTAGTTGTGGTTGTTATTGGAGTCATTTATTTCCACTCATGTGCCCGTCTCTGATATTCCATTTTATAAATGTGACAAATCAAAGAACATGTACGTGCCGTCAGGCTCAGAAACGCCAATCCTTCATGGATATTTCTCTGTAAACCGAGCGCTCCCCTCGTCTCCTGCTGGTTTCTGTAAATAATAGATGATCATGACATTACAGAGAGACTATATTCTTGCTCCCTTTCTTCATTTTCTTGTTTATTTCTAATGTTAAACAGGAAATTGAAGGATTTAAAGCTGAAAACAAGTTTTTTTTTTTGTTTTGTTTTTTTACTGTGCAAAGACCTTCAGAAAGCTTAGCAGTGGCAAATTGTATTATAACCACAATTACATTTAATTAAGTTTTTTTTTTTGGCTAAGCTAATAATTATTTTTTTTAGTAAGCCTACTGACTGTTTATTAAACTGTTTTTAAATGCCTTGTTTTGTTTATTGTATGTCACAAAATTACATAAGAAACAACAATCTAATGGTAAAAACTCTAGGAGAGCTAGATAATATAATATACCATATAATGAAGATATAAGATAAATAATCTGTAACCTTTAATATTGTTTTAAAATAAAAACAAT